TAATAAACAATACGCTGTCGTACTATTCTTTATATACAATAGATTATAAAAACAGGATGGCATAAAAACATGACACGGTATTTGCCAGGTTTCAGCTTCCGTCACGCCACTACTTAGCCAATCTAAACAGATCATCACTCACGAATGTACCATCGATAAACACGCAAATCCAATAGAGACTTCATTGTTAGAACGCAATGCTTCATAGTATTTTTTTTGTATGCAAAGTTGTTAGGATATTTGAATTTAGATTTTAATAACAGAACAGTATTGAAGTTGTCTATACTAATATTATAAATACTAATACTAATACTAATACTAATACTAATAATATTATAAAGAGGAAAGATTTGTTTGTTTGTTTGTTTCGAATAGGCTCCGAAACTACTGGACCGATTTGAAAAATTCTTTTTCCATTAGAAGCCGACATTGTCCCTGATGAACATAGGCTACTTTTAAAAAAAAAAAAATATTTTATTTTTTTGGTTTCATGTGTGTTTTAATGTTTCCGAAGCGAAGCGAGGGCGGGTCGCTAGTTCTTTATATACATAATAATTTTAAAGGGTAAATGGACAGTAAAATAGCTTCAAAAAAAAACGAAAATAGAGTTGACATAATAAGTGATGTGCGTAACTTATTAAACAATACTAATAAAATATTACGTATTATAATTTTATGACGCGGGACCAATGAAGTCTTCAGTAACCGGAAAGTATAAGAGTTCAATAAATATGACTTAAACTAAGTTAATTAGGTGCTGAAGTTTGAGTTTATATAAAAGTTTTTAATATTACAGATAAAATTTTAACCACTAGATATTCGTTGTTTTGATATGTGAATGTATGTATTGTTTTATTTACGAATGCCGTCATACCCTTTTACTTGATATTGTCACCGATCGCATACTTGCGACTTCATGAAATAGAACAATTATAAAAAATCCAAAACAAAAACAACGGTGCCTTTTAAGAATCGAGCACGTTTGCACACAGCTTAAGACGGGGGAACCCAATTAAGCCACGCTCTGTTCTTACGAGGGCTCCGGATGAGACTTTTAGCGAAATACTTATGCTAACTCCGAGTTAAGTACACACGTCTCTCAGAGTTCATTGTTAATACTTTAGATTTTATAGAGAAAAACTAGATTGGCTTGAGTGACGCAGAGAAACTGTCGAGATCATTGGAAATTAGCATCTAGCTGCGAGATGTTTTGAAGATATACAGTTATTGAACAGTAAAACTGTTAGCACAAGCGCCACAGTATCCGTAGATTAATGGGTAAAATGCCCGGTCTACTGAAGCGCTGTAATGATTCGGAGAATAAGGACTATGGACTCTGTTAACAATATCAAAAAAGATTGGTTGAAGAATCCTCCGCAAGCATAAATAAATGAAAAAATCAAATGCTTCTAGTGTTAAGAACATCTATGTAAGATCGAGGACGGGAAAGCGTCGGTGAAAAGTGGCGAATTTCATTCCGAACATATCTGTTTAAGCTTCAACATCCGCTCTGACGTGCATGCATTGTGTCGACGTCACTCTGTTAAAATCCGCAATGTGTTTGAAATTATCATATTTTCAGAACTCTTTAATAAAAACATATAGACTTTTTACGGATTGTAGTTCGGTATCAACATAAACTATAACAGGGCTAACCTATTTCTATTAAGCCGAAAGTTAATTCATTTTAGTTTAAAATAAATAGTGTTAGAGAGAGAGAGAGAGAGTATTCTTTATTGTACACCAAAAAACAAATAAACAGTGCGATACATTAAAAACAAAAAAGTACAATTGGCGGTCTTATCGCTAAGAGCGATCTCTTCCAGACAACCATCTGGTGGACAAGAATCATTTGGAAACGAACTACGCGCGATGTACCATTCCAGTGAAATGCATATACATATATGTACACATACATATACNAGAGAGAGAGAGAGTATTCTTTATTGTACACCAAAAAACAAATAAACAGTGCGATACATTAAAAACAAAAAAGTACAATTGGCGGTCTTATCGCTAAGAGCGATCTCTTCCAGACAACCATCTGGTGGACAAGAATCATTTGGAAACGAACTACGCGCGATGTACCATTCCAGTGAAATGCATATACATATATGTACACATACATATACACATACATATCTCCGTAAATATACATACAATTAATACAAAGTATTATAATATAATGTTAATGTGTTAATGCTATTTACTTTTAGTAAAAATTCCATGGCAAAGCCTTTATTTCAATCTTCATTACTTGTTATCTTAAACGTTACCAAGAAGCATATATTAGATTTATCTGTGCGTCTTTTTGCGCATCGTATAATTGATGTACTATATGTTGTGCTAACGAATGGTCTAATGCCGTTCCAATTTACAACAGTCCTTGTTACGAGATTAGCGTATAGTCTATGTGTTTGATACGATCGTGTAAGTAATTACTTAGAGATGGTGGCAAACCAATTATTCCATTGTTTGGTAGTTTGATTGGGAAGATTTTTTTGAGAAACAATTTTGAATTTAGTAGTCATTGCAATTAGGTTTTTTTTTTGTTAGTGTCGATCGTCAAGGTCCCAGCCCGTCTGGTGACGTAATACCTTGTCACCGAAAGTCGCGGACAGTGATATAAACTTATCTTCCGGGGAATAGTATATTAATAAATTAATGTTTTTCGTTACTATTTTTTTTTATTGCTTTGTTGGGTGGACGAGCTCACAGTCCACCTGGTGTTAAGTGGTTACTGGAGCCCATAGACATCTACAACGTAAATGCGCCACTCACCTTGAGATATAATTTCTAAGGTCTCAAGCATAGTTACGACTGGCTGCCCCACCCTTCAAACCGAAACGCATTACTGCTTCACGGCAGAAATAGGCAGGGTGGTGGTACCTGCCCGTGCGGACTTACAAGAGGTCCTACCACCAGTAATTACGCAAATTATAATATTGCGGGTTTCATTTTTATTACACGATGTTATTCCTTCATCGTGGAAATCAATCGTGAACATTTGTTGAGTACGTATTTCATTAGAAAAATTGGTACCCGCCTGCGGGATTCGAACACCGGTGCATCGCTCGACACGAATGCACCGAACGTCTTATCCGTTAGGCCACGACGACTTCTACGACGACTAAATACTTTTTCCAAAACAATGTCCCCAGTTTATATTACTTACGTGTTTCACTCGATCGTTATACGGTACACAAATTCACAGACTGGCGTTAATAGACAATAATTTGATATTCTTTGTTGTTCTCGATTTGCAAATTCACATTTAACATAGAGTTTCAATTTGAAACGTCAATTTTATTACAATTCACGAGAGTGTTCGATGATTAAAAAAACGTGGTTAATACGAAACAATTTTTTTCTCTCCGATAGCTGTAATTTCAAACGGTGAAACGATCTTACGGGCGACTATTATTTGAATACCAACAAAATAAATTGAGAACCGTTAAATTAATATCAGGCCAGGACTACAGTTTCATAATCAAAGGATTTAACTGACCAAAAGGACAGTCCCGTGGCGAGGCCGCTTCTAAACCCTGTAATCCGAGCTTCGTAATAAGCCATAGGTGGTTAGGCGCTAACCTGAAACTACCCTCGAACGACCCCCGTTCCGCCCACAAAAGACAGAAAACTATTGAAAGTTACTTACCGTTATCGTACTCAGATTCGGAGTTAGAACAGATACTTTTGACTGACAATTAAATTTTTTTTTTTTTTGGCAATCATGCATTGTTATAGAAAAATAGAAACATAGACAACCTTTTTGAATGTAATGTAATTGTGTAATCATCGTCTTAATCTCGGTTTAATGCTGTCAATAACTATTTTATTTATTTGTTGTGTAGATTACATTCAGGAGTATTGAAGGCTTGTAGGATTGTAGGAGTCCATAGATATCCTAACGTGAATGCCGCCATGAGACATGAGGTCGAAGTCTCAATTCTATAGTATAACGGCGCTGGCCATCCTTTAGACCGAAACTGTTTCGCGGCAGAATGCGGCACGAATGTAGGTACTATCTGCCAGTAAAATAAATCTATTAAATATAGTGTACAAAAAATGTGCATTGATAGTAAACGGTTTAAAGTAATTGCGATGCACTCTTTCACTTAACCTACTAGTATGGTACAATATAAGCCACTCAAACTTCGTATATTCTCTAAAGGGTAAATCTCTTTATTCCATGTATTAAAATAGATTATTGTTCCGATATTTATAATTTCTCACTAAATTCCGTACTAGCATTAAGGAGAATATGTAAATTCAATAAGTGCTGGGGCGCCGGTACTCATTGTTTCTGGACAATAACTATTCCCTATCCGTTTTTGAACACGAATTATTGCAATAAAGAGGTATAGAAGAAAATCGTTAGTGTTGTGTTCATTGGACGTTTTTTTTTTTTATCAAACAAAAATCGGATACTGCACGGGCCGTTTAAAATATTTCTTTCCACTAAAAACGTGTTCAATGAAAATTTTAAGCACTTTAAAAGCGTAAAAGACAACGGAAACTATTTAATATCTCACTAAAGAAGCATTTACAAAGGCCGGTAAAAGCATCGGCGTCAAAGCGCTGGCCGTCTCGCTGTGCGGGGATTAATTATTATTTTAAGCATTTCCCTTGGTTTTTTGCCGCGTCCGCGAGTCAAAAGAATTGCTTCTTCACTTCAAAAGTTGCTAAATAATTAAAGCGCCTTCTTCGCGACGCCGTTCCGCGTCTCGCGACTAAGTACACGTTTTTTTTTACGAATTTTAGTGAAAAGCTCCGTGGATCTTTTCCTTATTATTTTTCCAATCAGAATCTATCTATTCTATAGCTCTTTATGTTAATTAAAATGCCTGATTAACTACGCCATTTAAATTTTTAAAACTTAATTTGAATAATTTCGACGTTATTACATAGAAATTAATTTCATTAATTCCGAGAACTTGTAGAGGTGTGGAAAAAAAAACGTTAATAAAAATTAAGTGATTTAAAAATTTTTGTTTAAGGTAAAACTTTGCCGGTCCATTGTGTGGTGGAAGCCGTGTCTTCGTTGGAGGAGAGTAATTGGAGACGACGTGCCATCGTTGAAACAGACAGTTACGTCATAATTCCTGCCGCCACGGCGTTCCATGAGCTGGTTCCGGCGGCCATGATGAGGCTTGGATATCCTCATGAGCTAGCTGCTTCTGCTAAAGGTAATTTGGAGTTCAACAATAAAATAAATAAATCGACTATACTTAACTTTCGATTTGGTACTGAGCCGGATGTACTCACATAACATTTGTTGAGTACGTATTTCATTAGAAAAAAAAAATCGGTTGTCTGTAAAGTTGGTTTACTGACGATAGTTGAACGTCACAACGTCATAAGAAAATACGCCTCAGAGCGAGGTAACGCCGCATGAGTCATGTTTTTTCGTGCGTGCAGCCGACTCCATCGAATTATAAGACGTTGTCACGTCAAAATTGGTAGCCGCCTGGGATTCGAGCATCGGTGCATCGCTCAACACGAATGCACCGGACGTCTTATCCTTTAGGCCACGACGACTACGAAATAACTGGAGTAACAGTTATTAAAATACACGGTGGAGACCTTTGAATATTATGACTTTATTAACCAAACAAAATTACTAATTAAAATGAAAATTCGCACTCCGCTAGAACTGTTCTTGAATTTTACAGATATTCTCGAGCGCTTCGTATTTCTCTTCAATGGTACTTTATCTATGTATCGGGCGCAATGTAGGGCAGTTCTATCTCTTTCTGTTGGAGAGAATCATGCGTTGCAGTTTGAGCTGTGACAGCTATTATACAAAAAATTTATTGAAAAGTTTGAAGGGTAGGGCAGCCGTTGTAACTATACTGAGATCTTAGAACTTATATCTCAAGGTGGGTGGCACATTTACGTTGTAATGTCTACGGGCTCCAGTAACCACTTAACACCAGGTAGGCTGTGAGCTCGTCCATCCACCATCATTTCAGCCTATCGCCGTCCACTGCTGAACATAGGCCTCTCCAATAGATTTCCAGTGCGACCGGTTCATTGCCACCTGCATCCAACGAGACCCATCGCTTTTTATTAGGTCGTCGGTCCATCTAGTAGGTCCATCCACCAAAGAAAACAAAAAAAAAAGAAAGGGGACTTAGAGTTCATGTTTCAAGGTGGCATTAGCTATATGATGTCCTTGAGCTCTATTGACATCAAAAGGTTCATGAGTTCGTCTGTCCATTACAGCTATTTAAAAATCCTTCTCTAAACGCAAAGATTCCGATAAACGCGTGGTCTCATATGACAAACAGAATTTCGAACGGTTTTAAGTATATTAGATTTGCTAATAATGTTCTTATTAAATTATATGTAAATTTGTATAAATCAACATAATAGATTACGATAGATTAATTCGTTCATAAATTTTGTTAAATAAATATAAATATTTTGATGCACGGTAAATATTGATTACACGAGATTTTCGAGGTTAGGAATGTGAATTTAAATTTCACTATAGAAGATTTTATTCAATAAAAATAAAAAAAACAAGCCTCAAATTTACGCGAAGCCACCAAAGTTAATAACATGGGTGACACTAATCTCGTAACTAATCTCTCATACAAACATTTTTTTTCTTTCTTCAAGTTATTATAGAACGTTAGCCGACTCTGTATTCATAACTTATGTACTTTAAAAATTGCTTAATTTCTAGCGGCACCACACTAAAGCGACGCTGCCTAGGTTGAATCTTCCATCCATCCTGCTTAGTTCTGACGTGAGGCTATAACTCGTTTCGAATCAAATTGTAAACCGTTATATGATACTATTGAGACTTCAAGCCACTTGTCTTCGTACTAATAGGCCTCTAGTAGAACTTAACGGTTCGGTCAAAACATCTTTTTCCCTTCTACATCAATAATCTATATATATAAAAATGAATTGCTGTTCGTTAGTCGCACTAAAACTCGAGAATGGCCGGACCGATTTGGCAAATTATTTGTGCAAGTCCAAAAATTTTTTAAAAGGTAGATAAATATGAAAATGCTCGGAATTCAATAAAAGTAACAATTTTGTTTTCCCTTTGATGTGACCCCCGTCGGACGGATTCCTTTTGTTTGTTTTAAATTTATTTTATACAAAAGTTTAGTTCTTTTATTTATCGATTGAGGCACTACGAAGTCTGCCGCGTCAGCTAGTAAATAATAAAATTTAAAACACAATTGCTGATAGGACGTCTTGTGAGTCCGCACGTACCACCACCTATTTCAGCCGTGAGTGAACCAGTAATGCGTTTCAGTTTCAAGGGTCGCACTATAAAATTGAAACTGGGTTTTTAAGGTGGGGCAGCCGTTGTACTATAAAACTGAAACTGAGAACTCATGTCTCAAGGTGAGTCGCGTTGTTGACGTCAATGTGCTCCAGTAACCACTTAACTCCATGTGGGCCGTGAGCTTGACCACCCATATAAGCAATAAATAAAAAGTGTGTTTATTTAATAAAAACGATTGGTTTTTAACCGAAGAAGTTCTTCGAAGAAGTTCTTTAAAAAAGGAAGAGGTTCTCAATTTTATCGTATGTTTTTTTTTTATGTTTGTTACCTCATAACTTTTGATTGGGTGAATCGATTTTGATCATTCTTTTTTATTAGAAAGCTGTCGCTTCCCGTATGGTCCCATTTCAATTTAATCCAGTTCTGATAATGGTATCCATGAGAAAACCATATAAGTTTTAAATTGGCACTAAGTACGTGCTCGACAAATAGATAAATAACTCAATAACTCAATATCACGCCAGCCGATTTCGATGATTATTGTTTTTAGTGTATATTAATTTGTTTTGGAATATGATTATTTTTCTATTCGAAGTCGGTTTTTGTTAAAGCATGTCTATGTACAGCAGCGATCGGGGAACCTTCTTAATTATTACCCCAAAATATTTTTGTGTAAGTTAATATTACCTCATGGCGAAAAACAAAAAAAAAACGAAATCGCTTCTTTTTAGTATCTTTCATATTATAGCCCCCGTGATAATTTTGGAAAGAAAACAATAACTAAAAATTTAACGATTCTAAAGAAATTTCACCTCAATATACTTATACGTTTTACTCACAAAAGTTTCATTTTTACCCCCCCCAATTTTTTTTATTGCCTTTGTAGGCAGACGAGCATACGGCCCACCTGATTGTAAGTGGTCACTGTCGCTCATGGACGTCAGAAATGCCAGGGGCAGAGCCAAGACGCTGCCTACCATAAAGTACTCTCCGCAAGCCTCGTTTGAAAGCGTGAAAGAAGGACATGTCATAGCGCTCGGAAAACACCGTGGAGGGGAGTTCATTCCAAAGCCGGATGGTACGTGCCAAAAAAGATCTTTGGAAACGCACTGTCGATGAACGCACTGATGATGAAAATTTCATTTTTTTTATTTATTGCTTAGGTGGGTGGACGAGCTCACAGCCCACCCGGTGTTAAGTGGTTACTGGAGCCCATAGACATCTACGACGTAAATGCGCCAACCACCCACCCCATTTGGGGTAATTTACCCCGTTTCCCGACCGCTGATGTACAGTTATTTAACTTCATATTTTGTTTGTAGGCTCAGTGGTGATAAACAATTGGAAGCCGCTTCCATTCGAGAGGATCTCGGACGGGCCGCTCGCTACTGTGGGCGAAGTGCTCGGGGAACTGACGACCGTCGCCACATTGAGGATCCAGCTGCTGAGACCGAGGCCTACTCCCCTGCAAGACATAAAGGACAAGCTGCTCAGGCTTTTATTGGTCCAGAGCAGACCGTTACTAATGTCAACCGGATGCCCTCTAGATGAGGTTAGTACAATTTCATCACATTTCAATTAACCTAAAAAATTAAGAAGTGACATGAATTATTTTAGAACTCAATTAGAACGGCCTGATGTGTGTTATTATTTTGACATTTCTAGTACTGTACAGATTTTGTAGTATGCATACATACATAATAAATATTTATACTAGATATATATAATAAATTGTAATAAGAAATTGGAGTTTAAACCGTAAAAGTACTTCTAGTTAAGTATACAAATCGTGAATACTAAAGAAACTGTCTGTTTCATAATAGTAACGGACATTAAATAAAAGAGTTTTTGAAAGAAAAAAACTACTTCCCATTTTTTTAATTGATAAAACATAACACTCGTTAACCTAAAGTAAATCAAAAATAAAGTCAGTTGGCAAACGGAAGAGAAATTTATATTTAACTGTTTTGTCTTTCTCAATTTATTATAAACATACATTAACTAAAATCCAAACGAAGGGACCTCCCTCAGCGTTAGACCGATCAGGCAGATCACTGACACCGCTAATAAGTCGAATCTAAATGCATATAAATAACTTATAATAAACATTGCATATAATTCCAGAAGAAAGTCAACACTTGTTTGTTTTAGGACATATTATAATGTATCGTCTCTATAGCCAAATACTTCTTAGGTTGAATTTTCAAGCTGGATATTTAAATAACAGTCGAATAAGTAGTTTTTTGGCTCAAACAAATAAACTTATTTAATATTTACCAATACAAACAACTTAATACGGAGCCATTCAAAAACATCTGTCAAAACGAATTACTCTCATTTGAAATGATCCGCATTCGGCTTGAGCGACAATGAAAGTACGCTACGTTGGGCTAAACCGACTCTCCCAGTATTCTGTGTAATATTCTGTGTTACCTGATTGTTGTTCTGACCTACGGAGTTGTGTTTAACGATATAAATGCGATGCTATGCGATGCGATGCTGTTAAATGGCATAATTTTAAAATAAAAGTGAATCAGAGATTTTTTCTGATATTAACACAAAATTCTTATTTTTATTTAAAACTAGCTGACCCGGCAGGCTTCGTAGTGCCTCAATCGATAAATAAAATAAACTTAACTTAACGTTTGTATAAAATTACTATTTAATTCCGACCATTTTCATAATTATCTACCTTTTAAAACTTCTCTGAACTTCCACAAATGATTCAAGACCAAAATTAGCCAAATCGGTCTAGCCGTTCTCTAGTTTTAGCGAGACTAACGAACAGCAATTCATTTTTATTTTTATTTCAAATTAAAATTAAAATTTTGGCTCAATTTTCTAATTACAATTTATTAACACCCTTATACGTTGTCAGTGTTATAGGATTGCCTACATTATATTGCGTTTGATTAAATTAACTGTCTCCACCTTCACAAACCAGAACAGACACCTGTAGGTAATGCAAACTGAAAATCGTGAAAAATTTCTAACATAAAAAAAAAACAAAATGATGGATAACAGAATATAGGCACTGTAAATACGAAATAGAATCGCATATCAAAGCTTCGTGTGTGCAACACATTGTTTTCAAATCCGTGCACAATACCCGGCGGAATACTAAACCTTTACCCCTTATTACCGCGGAAATTCATTTTATTCATGTTTTAAGCTCGACCATTGAACGCCCTCTCAGTGGAAACATCGATTAAATTATATGAAATTATTACGTGCCCAGAGAATAAAAATTAAACTGTTATATTTGTTTCAGTTGATTAAATTTTTATGTATTGATTTTGACTAATATATACACATGACTACTATCAGTATCTATGTTAAGATCATCAGAAATACACGTAAGTGTATTGCCTGGAACTTGCCTGGAACTAAGATGTGAATAAAGCGAATAGACAACACAACGTGAATGCTGTAGTCTAAATTTTGTAGAATAACAGTTTCCAAAAATAATAGGAACGCAGGTTTTTTACATCGCCGAAATAGGCAGGATGACCTATCAGTACCTAAGGGCTCACAGTACGTCCTGTTGGTTATTAAAAAGAAGAATCATTTGAAGTTTCAGTGGAGAAGACGCCAAAGTATTTCATAGGTGTATATAATTTGAATATACTCTATTTCTATTTTCATTTGTTTTTTTTTTGTATTACGTTCCACGCTTGGGTTAAAGATGAATATATCAAAGTTAATTGTGTTTACACGGTGATGCACTGCTAGTACCAACAAACAGGATATTAAATGAGCCGAATAAAGACAGCGATAACATTATTCATATAAAACGCGCGTATAAGATAATTATCTTAGCACGTAAAGTTACAAAGAGATTTAAACCTCCATTTCGCTAGATGGATACAGCAATTTGTCGAAGCGATGAGCACCTGCCTCATACGCGAGATCTCCATACATAATAAATTTAATTGAATCTCAGACTCATCCTCGCCTCGCACAGCCTTATTATATTTTCTAAATATCCGCCTTGTTGCGAACGGGTTAGGTCGGGGAGGAAACGCGGGGAGGGGTCGCCCTCGTCTTACTAAGTTGAGCCTCAACGAAAGAGGGTTAAAAGGAGTTTTGGATGTACGAACGCTTTTGATCTTATTAATACCATAAAATAATGCTTTATAATCTTATTAAACGCGAGGTTAGCGTTCGACGTGCGCCCTTCACAAAGCTTACCCGTTTCAACGGTATCGCGATTTCTATTCGCATCCTCAGTGGCGAACTAAACTGCTACCGGAGTAGTCACCGGCACGAATCATAAATTAAATATCTTCCGTCAATTGTGACGTTGAGCGGTCTATCTTGACTGTTTAGTCACGATAAATACGAAGCAACTGTTTCGAGTCAAATAAAACAAATTGAAGTTGAGAAAGTTGCGGCAAATGAACCAAAGGAATTCCCGAACGGCCGAGATAATCAAACAACGAACTTCAGCTAAACGCCAGATGAACTCAACTCTGAACTGCTATGGTAATTTATCTCACGCCAATTTGCACCATTTCGATTCTTAACTTTGAAGAAAGTTCGTATACGAGCAATTTATCGAAAACGATGAAGTTATTTATGAGATATTTCGGTTCGAACCACACGAGTCGCTTAAAAATAATTATCATAGATTCTACTAAATGTTTCAAGGTTTTTTATCCGAGTTAGGTACAGTTTTAATCGTTTCTTGAAGCGTACGCGGCATTTGTACACACATCTAAAACAATATCAGATAAGACTAAGCCTATTGTGTTTAAAGCTGTCCTTTCTTAGCACGAGTATATCAAGTAATGTTCGCAATCACACACCGAATTACGTACTTAGCCGGATTACACGTGACGCGAGTTATCACCAACAGGCGCCACTTCTCGTAAACCTTCCATGAAGCCGAAACAGACAATATCTGAGAGTAAATATGGGCTCACTATTTAAAAAATAAAACAAAGAGTTGGATTAACGTATCACTCTGGCTTCGCTCTAATTCCACTGACATGATTTATAAGCACAATCTCGATGTGTTATTTAACTAATTCATATACTTAATTTAACATCTGATTTAGCAACACTCGCAGAGCAAACCGTCTTGGTTGACAACCCGGCTGACGTCGTAATCGCTAGCATTGTTCTGTGTAATCTAGCGATACGAACAGATCTCACTTGCATAACTATCAAGCTGGGTAAACTCAGCGAAGCAGCTATAATCTGACAAGTTCTTTTATGATTGACTACTAGGTTCGTTTTTAAAACCATACAAACAAGGCGCTATCGTTTTGAATAAATAGTTGTGAAATTCAAACAACGCATCCGAATTATATTTCAGTCGCACGGTTTTATTTACTGTTCAAATAACGGTACGAGACGAACGTTAAACGTTTTGGGAGTTGTTTGACCGAGTAGGGGTCGTAGCGTTTTACGGAAGCTCTTAGTCTCAGCTAGTGCCGGCGCCCAGCCGAGAGAGCAGTGGGTGGATGCTAATTGTCAAAACGCCCTTTCCGCTCATTGTTTTAGAGCAAACCATGATTGAAGTTTCGGCGGCGCGCTGGAGTGATTCTCTCTAACCAGAGAGCAAACACCGCACGTCTCAGCACCGTCGGCCGCTTGCGCATGACACATGCATTAACAGCCGGCCTAATATTTTCATAATCTAATGGCGATGTTCTGTGAAACAATGCTCACAGTTTACTCAAGCAATTATCTATGTATCTCTCGCTGGTTAGACTGACCTCTTTAAAATCGTCTAAAATTGTTTGCTTGTTTGTTACTTTGTTTCATGTTTTCTCTCACAGCTCTCCTTTCTNCGTCGGCCGCTTGCGCATGACACATGCATTAACAGCCGGCCTAATATTTTCATAATCTAATGGCGATGTTCTGTGAAACAATGCTCACAGTTTACTCAAGCAATTATCTATGTATCTCTCGCTGGTTAGACTGACCTCTTTAAAATCGTCTAAAATTGTTTGCTTGTTTGTTACTTTGTTTCATGTTTTCTCTCACAGCTCTCCTTTCTTTTATTTTATAAATGTTTCTATTGTTACAGATTACTCTAGCTCAGATATGCCGTGGTCAAGATAGGACACCGGGGCCTCACAACTTTCACGAACCATCAGAAGATATGAGAAGGAAATTTGAGTCTTGGTGGACCGCACAGGTATCCCCACGGCCCCCGCCGTTCAGTCCTCGTCGTTATCCCTCTCCAGGACCGAAAAATCGATCGCCAACATTGAACAGCATTCCAGATCATTTACATCCCGCATTGCAAACCGTGCAAAGTCAATATCCAACTCAAAAAACACGTATGAGAACCAGTTTCGATCCCGAATTGGAATTACCAAAACTGCAACGTTGGTTCGCCGAAAACCAACATCCGAGCAGACAACAAATACAGCAGTACGTCCGAGAACTGAATAATTTGGAATCGAGACGTGGTCGTAAACCTCTGGATGTAAACAATGTCGTCTATTGGTTCAAGAATGCTCGTGCGGCTCAAAAGCGAGCGGAACTCCGGAATATAGGAGGCCTTAGCTGTCATCTTGGAGTTAATGGATTTAACAGCCGAAGTCATAGCCCAAGCAATGGTTCTCTGATGGTGAACAACGATCATTACGGACCTCAAGATCAAAATTCTATGAAAAGTCCAATGCAGTTGTCAGAAAGCCCTGGTAGATACCCCATGTCGGTTTTATCGGAGGACAATCTTTCTAATGGTGGTTCAGATCTAGATGAAGATGTCGGAGATATGAACCAAGATGATCGTCCTGAGAGTCCCGATGCTCCTTTATCTCTTATAACAACCAAGAAGAACAACAACAATTCAGACGAGCTGCACCAAGAATCTCCAAAACCACCAGATATAATTAAGGTACGACTTAAAAAAGATGTCACCAAAAATATGTTCACTTAGACTTATTTTCTTAGATTACTTCCGATTACTACTTTCCAAATTTTTCATTTGTCCTCTATTTGTTACAGGTACATGACATCAAACAAGAACCAAAGGATTTGAGTAAAACCGAACAAATAATTTCCCCTCAACGATCTCCAGCTAAAAACAGTGACAGCTCTCACAACAACAACAGTAACAACAACAACAACGAGGAGGAGAACGGGGTCATTGAAGACCACGAGTCTGACGAGGAGTCTCCCCAGGAACGACTTTACCGACCATCGTCGTCTCCGCAGCTCGACAGATTACCGTTCCCGGTAATGCCCAACCACCCGATGTTCGGTCACGGGATCATGTACATGAGTCAGTACATGAGCGGGTTCCCTGGAGTGGGCCCGGTCCCAGGAGAGGGCGCCAGCGGCTTGAACCTCGCCCTCGCCGGGGCTTCGGACGAGCGTCGCAAAAGGAACCGCACTTTCATAGATCCAGTTTCCGAAGTGCCGGTCCTCGAGCAATGGTTTTCGATGAACACCCATCCGTCGCACAACTTAATACTCAAATACACGGAGGAACTGAACAGGATGCCTTACCGGCAGAAGTTTCCGCGTCTCGAGTCTAAGAACGTTCAGTTTTGGTTCAAGAACCGACGTGCCAAGTGCAAGAGGCTTAAGATGTCTCTGTATGAGCCGTCATCGCCGGGACACTACTCGCATCCGGGCCATCCTCACGCACTCGCCGAACGGAAAATGGTCTAAGTGAACAACGAAGATATAAATCCAGAGCTCAAAAGGAGTCGACTCTAAGTGTTTGTGGCGTTCTGCATGTTAACATTAAAGACTGAAATCGAATCGTATAATGGTGTAGCAGTGCCATCTTAGTATTAAATTAATATCATTACCAACCGTCACAACGGCTCTTTTTCATGGACTTAATCAATTATTGTCGTATTCGATAGTTTTGCTTAAAGTAGAATTATTAATATAATTCAAAACATTTATAATGTTTAATGCAATTAAATTAAAATAAGTCTTCATAATATAGAACACATCACAACTCACTACGTACGTAGAAGTACAAACAGCTGCTATCAAAGGACATGTCATGATTATTTGTGAATGAATCTCATACATCAAATGGTATTTGATTGTGTAAATAAGTAAGTACGGCTTTATTTATTATGCACAGTACATGTAGAGGTTAGTTAGTTATTACAAAACTCTCATTGAAAATTTCACTGAAATCATACTATTAGTTTTAATGATAAAACTTTTACATCATATATTTAATGTATAATAGTAATTGTACTATAATTATTAATATAATCAATTAAATTAGACACTGCAAGACATTGCATATTAGTATAATTAATAACTTTTGACTCGTATGTAGGTAATATATAAATACGTCGAAATACGCGGCTGTCATAGACTACGCACATTCCATATTGTATTTGTAGTATCATTTTTTTTTTCATAGATTATAAATGCTTCCTCAATCCAAAGATTGAATTGTTATAACATTGTATTTGATTATATCATTATGTATTTTTGATTTGACAATATCGTTGTTGTCAGTTCAAAGTATCCTATGAGACAACGTTTAAGTATAAGTTTAAAAAAATTTAATGCAAATATGATATTTTGCTAGGACATAGGAATTTTGAATTATCTACTACGATATAAGGTTCACATTTGTTGTAATAATAAAACATATTTAGTTTTCATTTATTACTAATATTATTACTTTTTTATGTACTGCAGATTTATATTCCATTTAAACAAATCGAATAATATTTAAAATACGCGACTCCGCTATAAACTTACTCTATATTTCTTTTTTTTTGTTTTTGTTTTTGTATGATATATGAAAATATTACACTGAATTTGGGGTAATAATTATATTTATGTTTTTTTTTACTTGAAATTCAAGGTTCTTCGTTCGTTCTACGTGAAATAATTTCATTATTCTTTTGGCTTCTTCAGCTCAATGTAGTTATACTCCGACGATGCTCTAATTATTTTTTATTCTTACGAAAACTTCTTATCTTACTCGAGTACTCTCAGTTTCACGTAGAGAGGTCCACATAGCGCTCCTGAAAAAATTATCAGGTTAAAATTGAGAATCAATTAAACCATTTTAGATACTTCTTCATTTGAAATAAATCCAAAACATCTAACTACTTATGAATGTGAAGTTGTTTTGGTGTTAAGTAGTTAGGGAGTCCATAGACACCACATGAATGCCAAGGTGAGTGACCTTGCGACATGGGGTTCGAATTCTCAATTTCTATTGTGAACGACCGTCTCACCATTCATACCGGAACGCATGACTATGTCGTAGCAGAAATAGACAGTCTATACTTATAGACGTTTTGTGTAGAATGAGATTCAGACAACGTGTCCACACAGTAATCTAAAGAGAATATCATCCGATTACAATATTTTTTTTTTATCAAGTCTAATAATGGACTACATTTGTACATTCCTACATTTTAAACAAATGGGTTCCCTCTACACTAATCTATATCGGAACATTATTGGATTTCATAAGTTTTTTTTATATAAAATTATTTCAGTGACAGATGTAGTAATTAGTAATATTAGTAATCATTTTTAACGTTGGTTAAAGCATGTTAAAAAAAGGTATTCTTTCCTAAATCCCTTAAAGTGAATAAAAAAATAAATGAACTATATTGAATTTCGAATTACAAATTTGACATTCAAGTTCGATAATGATTTTTTGATAAAAGCAAAAATTATGTTGCCCTCTAAAGTAATATTTATTTCTATTTGTGAGATGCTGATTATTTCGACTGCTAAATAATGGTTTTTTAAATGGACTTAAAAAAAAGATCGTTTTGATACGCTGAAGTAACTGTCCCAATTTTTAATCTTACTGAATTAAAAACACAATTATAGCCCACTCTACTTTCGCTCGTAGGCTATCGATAATTATGTTTTAGCTACACACTAAGTCTACTAAAACTTTCTCGAAATCATATTTTTTACCAAGCTTTCACTCCTCCGTTTAAAAATGTGATCGTAATTTTAAAAACAGTTAAAAGCGTATTTTAAATATTATTTGTTAAACAAAAGCATCTTTCACCGACATTACCGTGGTATATTAAAGTAATTAAGGCAATAAAACGTCAGTATTTATTCAAGCATTTATCGATTGAGGCTGTATCGTCCTTATACTTTATATAGATTGTTTTGTAGTTTTAAACATCACTAGTTGTAACAAGTTTATGTTGTATCAAAGTTATGCTTATTTGGCGTGTAGCTGTGATGAAATTTCCAAATATTGTAAATAATTTATCGATGTTTTATTAAAGTTTAGGTTTTTTTTTTATATATATATATATATATTTAAAAGAAAATAATATTATCTGCATCACTGAGCTCACTCGAACGTAAGCATTAGTTGCTTAGATAATGATGATATTGGCTAAATGTTTATTCCATTCAATTATACGAACGAAACATTAATTGAATATAATGATACTAAAGAAGACTATTTGTATTATTTTATTTATTCCTTTAATTCTAAGTAAAGTAATATGTAGTTTCGTGTTTGATTTGACGACCCAGGTAAACAGAAGTACCTATTCAACAAAATTAATAATAGATATAGTTTTTCATCTATTCCCATTAAACTTAGCTTTCTAAATAAATCTTTGACTAATTTTTTTTTTTTTTCTCCTACTTATGCTGGTAACCTTGTGAGGCTATTTCAGCTTCTCCTTGACGTGTAGGTGAGCTTACAGGGCTCTAGCTGGGAGTGTTGCTATCACTGGCCCTAGCAAGAGCAGTGCTTCGCAGAATCTGCCACCGGATCGAAAACGCGACCCACTGAGAAGATTCGGCGAGAAACTTAGTGGGCTGTGTCTATGAGTTAATTCACTCGTCGAGCCCTTCGTCGCAAGCGACGGGTTCGACGAGGACGGTGACCAGTGCTTATGGTACCTAAAAGCACCGTTAATGGATTGACTAATCCTCTTTTTCATCATATATTGAGTGGTGTTGCGAGTCGGCAAGGGTTGAAGCAACCACCCTATTCACCACATAGCAAATCTGTAGCGAAGCATTCATCACTTCCGTTTTAAAGGGTAGGACAGCTGATGTTACGATACAATTAAGACTTTGATCTCTTGTCCAAAGTTATACGGCGGTAGCATTTTCTTCGGTTTTCGGAAAACAAACAAATTCATTCCACGTATGCTACGCGACGCCATTTGGATAAAAAGTAATATGTGGTGTCGTGGGACACCAGGTAGGAACGAAGTTCCTTCGGCTAATGTAGAATCGACACAAATTGCAAAAAAAATCGTGCTCAATTTTATGTAGGTTTTCTTGATTTTTCTCTTAAATTATGCTGATTAGTTTTTATTAAGTACAAGAAAGTATTTAGGAAATAATAAATTACTTAAAATAAAAAAACATCGTAATTCAAATTATCAACTAAAATAACAAAATATGTCTCTTTATTTTTGTTTGACAACATAAAATTACATAGAAATAGAAAAATAGAAATAATAATCTCATAAAAGTCTCATTTAACGGTTTTATTCCACGCACTTTTTTCCACGGATTTTTTCTTACGGTTTTACTATCACATTTTTTTCAGTTCGGTCGCGCAGCAAAATCCCTATCCCCTCCAAGCCTGCCGTAAGGAACTTCGTTCCAATAAAACACCTTAACTACAATAATTAAATTTAACTGCCGTCTGGTGTAGTGATAAGTGACATGGTCACTACACAAGGGGGTCGCGGGGTTCGAAACCCGCCAAGGGAGGATATTTGTATAATAAATATTAAATGTCTTTTGCAGGGCTATGGATGTATATTAAATAAATGTATGTGTATAATAAAAATCTTACATTTATTTCCGTTATCTGGTACCTGTGACACAAGTTCTTTACGAACTTAGCACGGGACCAGTTAACGTGGCGTGATTGTTAAATATTTATTATTATTATTATAATAGAGAAGATGGTTGACTCTTCTCTAACAATTGGGATCATTGGGAACATAAAAACACAAATCAAACAAACTTTCAAACCTCAAGATACTAGTCGTTCGTTCTTTGTAAAATGAAGCATAACTTCTAGAAATATATTTATAGAAAAATAGACAGTAATTAGCCCAATATTCAAATGTCGACGAATAACGCCTCAGACGTTCGCTACCACGAAAACTGTAAAGTATTCGTAATCTGAAGTAATCTATATATTAATACGTGAAGCAAAAACTTTGTATTCCTTTTTACGAAAATCGCGCGGACGGAGGAGTATGGAATTTTCTACACTTATAGAGAATATAGAGAAGAAGTGCACAATGCTAATATTTTTTTTTAAATAATGCATAAAAGATACATTAAATCAATAAAGAAAACATTACACACACTACATACCATGTATTTGACGCACACACGCATGCTTACTATTTATTGTCAAACTTTTGTTCTTGAAGTCTGTGGTCAAATTGAGAATAGATTAAATATTGTTTGTCTTTATTAATATTTTTTTATAGTGTAACCTTGGCGAAATTTGTGATTATAGAAGTATAACATACAATCATAATAGTGTACAAACTTACAACTCCAATTAATTATAGTCGAATTTCGACTACTGCGGGACCTCTAGTATAAATAAAAACGCGAAATTAAACTGCTAAAGTAGTTTTGTTTATATTAAGTATACGGCTCTCGAAAACTGAAGTTAAATTAAAAAAAAAATGAAATTACGGAAGAGATAAAATAAAAAGATTTTCACAGTAAACAGATAGTGGTCTCTTTTCAATTTGTCACTGTTAGGTCCAAATGAGCAGTTAGAATATTATTTCATGCACAACATAAAATATATCTTGCGATCGTATTTTTCCTCCTACCTGCAGGCTTTATAAAGCACAAGTCCAGCCTCGCGTGGAGTACTGCTCCCAAATACCAGCTTCTTCTATTTGACTCCATACAGAAGAGGGCCGTTCCGATTGTCGATAATCCCAGTCTCACGGATGGCTTGGAACCTCTGGGTCTGCGTAGGGATTTCGGTTCCCTTTGTATTTTGTACCGTATGTTCCATGGAGAGTGCTCTTCAAGCGAGGCTAGTGGAGAGTACTTTACGGTAGACAGTGGCTTGACTCTGCCCCGGGGATTGTTGAAGTTCATGG